TCTCCGCTGTTGGTTGTAATATTGGTGAAGTAAATCCACACTTTGCTGAAGAAGCGTTAGCAAACTCTTGAGCAGCAACAACAGTACCATGTACTCCGCCATTGTTGTGTATGTTTGTTCGCGCTTGCCTTTAAAATCGACACGTACTGCGCATGTCTACATACCTAACACGTACTATGCACGCACATGACGTCACCGTTTTCAAAGATTCCCGTTTTGGGTGTTTACACGGAAACGATAATGGTGGCGTTTTCAAAAACTTGCACTTTGAAACCCATTTTCAAAAATATGCGTTTTCAGTCCCCAAAACGCCGTTGTCGTGTAAACGAACAGGCAAAACGCATAAAAAGCCCCTTACAGAGCAAAGCTTGTGCAATCTTTCACTCTTCTGTGATACAGAGGGTGGAAGAGAGAAAGACTGCAGCACAACTTGAGAGCGAAACAGAGTTGAAGCAACTTTGAGAAGATAACCAAGCCTTGGCCGCAAAACATTCACAAGAACAAAAGCAAAATCCATAAAGCAGGAGCTCAGAGACAAAGCCTGGAAAACTTTAAATGTCAAGGCCAACAACACAACCCTTTTTAGAAGTCAGACGCTGCACTGAGGTTGACTTCTATGGCTCAAAGCTTCCAAAACCACAGATAAATCCCAAGAAAGGACACATGCTTAACCATCTCACCCCACGCACAAACCTAAAGAAATGCAATTAACGAACAATTAACAAATAGCCTCTACATTAACCTCTGACAACATCAGCCAATTACAAAGTTAGATCGGAAAGGCACCAATTCTCTTCAGGAGGAATACAAAGGCTTTCTCTCTTTCTCAAGAAGTGTGGGTTGTTCTAAGTTGTATTGTTGTTGTAAAAGAAACTCTCTCTCTTAGAAGAGCTCTCTCTGAGGAAGATTGTGAAAAGAGAAACAAGGAAGTTCTGCAAGAAGGTATTTGGGGAGTTTAGAAACAGCAACAGCATCAACAACCACAAGCTTAATGAGCTCCTATTTTCAGGACCTTCTGTACCAACTTCATAATCTTCTCTTCAGGGATCCTTCATCTGTGTGTTCCAGGTCGTCCGGATCTTCTGCACAGATTTCAGAACCTCCACCTTCAAGGTTCCTTCATCTACATGTTCCAGACCAGGCCCTTCTCAGTACTCTGTACTTCAGGAGTTCAGCTACTGCAGCCTTTAAATTCAGTTATGTTTAAATGGAATCCAACTCCTTCTTCCCACTGCAACATGGCCCAGCAACCAGTGGAAGATATTACCACTCTGACTTATAATGTCACCAATCAGAATGTAATTATCACTTCACCAAACCTCTTTCCAGAGACCTTGGCATTACTGTGCATTGACACTATGATTATCTAATTTGCATTAGATTTAGTATAGCTGATGTCAGTTAATAACAAATAATCATTGTTTATTTGTTTAATTCAGAGATTATTATAAGCAGGAGAACATCACCTATTTGGTCAAATATGGAGGTGGACCAGTCCTGTAATGAGGGTGTTTTACTGTTGCAGGAAGTGGAAATCATGACTGTATAAAGGACACAAAGGATTCTTTGAAATATAAGGCAGTTTTGGCAAAGATTGTGATGCCTTCAGGGCAGAGACTGATGCTTGATGATCAATGGACTTTCTTGCAGGACAGCCATCCCAAAGTATATATCCAAATATACTTATGCTTGGTTGAGGGAGCGATTGTAGAATGGTCTTGAGTGGCCTGTTCAGTCTCCAGATTTTATTCTAATTGAAAATATTTGGTTGAATTTGAAGAAAGCAGTGGAAATTATCAGTGATTTGGATGCTTTTTCGGGCGAGGAATGGGCCGAGATTGCAGTAGAGAGGTGACAGAAGCACTTACAGGCAGCGTTTATTGGTGGTTTTAAAGAATAAAGATTCTCCCCCAAATTTGACTTTGGGGGTTGAATAATTTTGAACGAATATTTAGAGCCAATTCGATTTTTTTTTTTCATTATTCATCAACTTTACATTCTAAGAATCACTCAAATGTGTGTTAATAAACTTTCTCTAATAGTCTAGTTTCTCTAATGCCTTTGTTTAATTAGTTTCATAAAATGTTGTTCTCTGCAGCAAAATGTCTTGCAGGTCAAGGGTGTTGAATAATTTTGATTGCAACTGTAGGTGCCTGTGTCTGATTACCCTGCACAAAAAAAAAAATGGCTGAGTGTCGAAGTGTTTTTGGGGGTATACGATGGTGAAAAACTAATTTTAATTTTGTGTATTATTTGATGAATATCCTGACCTTGGCCGTTGGTCTGTGTGCACGACTGCTTGTTCATGAGACTCTAGTGTGTCAGTTCTGAATGATTAGGCTCATATGTTTTAATGTTATAAGGCCATGTTAATTTCTGACCCTGCTACAAGAGAAGCATCACCAATCAATAAAACACTGTGGTATCTTTAACAACCCTTTATATTGTGTTTCATCATTACAAAAAGGGACATATTTGACAAAAAAGTACTAAGATTTAAAAGGAAGAGAAGCAAGTGTCAACTTTAAAGTTTGACCACATTAACTCCATTTATGAAAATGGTTTCAAAGTGCTTATATTCGAAAGAAACAATCTTGGGATCTTCTGTTCTCCTCTACTTTCCATATTTGGTACGTTGCAATTTTTCTGTGTAGTGTCATGTCAGCTGTGCAGACTTGGTGCTAGTTGATGGTTCCATGGCTTGCATTTTTTTTATAAATTGGCATTGCAATTATTTAAATAAAATACATTTGTTATAAAGTCATTGTCGAGTCATGCAGTTCAGGTGCAAGTCAAGTCTCAAGTTACTAGTTATTAAGTTAAATTCAAGTCATTTTCTTAATTCTTAATGAGCTTCTGACACAGTATGAAATGTCTGTTGCCAATGATGTTGGTAGATTTTATAATTGGCATAAGGAGGACCTGCTACTTTTGTTAAAGGGGACCTATTATTCAAAATTGTTTTTGAACATAATTATGTGTCCGCTGAGTGTGTCCACAACCACCACATATGGTAAAAATGTATTCACTCATTTTGTTATTTTCCTCAGAAATCAGTCTCAAAATGACTCTTTCAGGAATGTACACCAAAGTGTCACTTTGAACAGGCCTTGCCCATGACTGGTAATGAACTCTGCCTTATTATCTCCTCTGAGTGAGCCGTACTTAGTCTGCCATGTTTATCTCCTCACTAGAGCTTTTAAAATCAGCACTCAAGAAATTTATTCTTATAAAACTACTTCAGTTATTCAGTCAAGAGAAGTGAGTGATTTCTGTTTGTTTTGTTGTTTGATTCATGGACAAAGTACACAAATCAAGTACTTGTCAGTCCCATAGACTCCCCATGTTAAAATGCCCAACTTTACAGCAGAAAAAAATATCTTTACAGCCTGGTACAAAAAATTATTTTGGTCTATATAGGTAATTTTGTGCTTCATGACAAAACAATATAAAAACAGACGTCACATAGGGCTAAATGCGTAGCATTTTAATAAAACTGTTAATGTTACGGCAGCGGGGAATATGAACGTGCATGAGTTATTTTATTTAATCTATGTTATTTTAATGTTTCGTTTTTTTGTGTTTTTTTTAACTACAACATAGAGACACTGATGTTGATGTGTCTGCATCAAGCGGCAACCTTCCGGTCTCTCTCCTGAAACCAAACCGGAAGTGACTAAAGCTGCAATTCATCGACTGTCTGCTAGAGGCTGGCTCCAAAAGGGAGTCAGTCCCATAGACTCCCCAGCAACCAGCTCCCGCCTCTTTGCCCATTTTCGATTATCCGGGAGTGACACGCTACCAAGATGGCGACGGCTGGCTCCGCCTACTTTAGGCTTCAAAAACGCTCTTCGGAAACCTACGGGTAACGTCACAGACACTACGTCCATGTTTTTATGCAGTCTATGGTCTGCATTCAAGCATTTCAGTGGGCTTAAATAGATCACCCTTTACAGCAGATTTAGTTCACAAACAACTGACAGTTTTGACCTAAATATGATTTTCAGTTACAATAATTAATCCTAAAATTCGACATTAGTAACTTACTTTTAGCAGCATCAAGATTTCCCGGGTTCTTACTTGTGAATTCAGTTCACTGGAGACTCGCACTAAACGGTTCATTTGAATCAGTGAGTTGTCGACTCGAGAACAGCTGCAATTGGATCATTCCAATTTGTGAATGAATCGTTTGGTGCAATTTGCAAACCGATTTAAAAGGTTTATTGAAAAGAATCAGTTCGTTCTTAAATCAGACACCGCTTCTGCGTGTCGGAGCACGTGATATATTATAAGGAGTAACGATAAGTTTTATGAAATGTAGTGAAGTAAAAAGTACGATCTTATGCTTTGGAATGTAGTGAAGTAAAAGTAAAAGTTACTCAAAATAAAACTACTCCAGTAAAGTACAGATACTTGAAAAATGTACTTAAGTACAGTAACGAAGTAAAACTACTCCGTTACTGTCCACCACTGCCAAAATATCGGAGGCTCAAGCAAGGAACAGCAGCTCATTTGCATTTAAAGATACATGCATGAAAGCAGCATGTTTTTGCTTCTGTTAAAAATGGGCATTTACACTATTATAATAAATGATCTGTGGGGTATTTTGAGCTGAAACCTCACAGACACATTTTAGGGACACTTGAGACGTATATTACATCTTGGAAAAAGGTTCATAATAGGTCCCCTTTAATCAGCCATGCCAACATGATTATTGGCAAGTGTAATAATAAACATTGCCGTATGCCACAATAAACATTGGCAATTGCAAGGCATTATTACAATACATGTTTACATTACAATACATTGAGTTATGAGTAAAAATGATCAAATTTGGCATTCTGACTGACATAACCATCACAAAAGAGATGCTAAAAATCATGGACAATATTGTTTCCAGTTCATTTTTTATTTTAATTTAAGTTTCTATAAAATTTGCATGCTGTGCAAAGTAAACAGAAAAAAAAACTGAAATGTATTATGATAGTATGTCATTCTGAAGGTCCCTCAGATTTTCTACATGTCAGGCATCAACAATGAAGATAAGAATATGACAAAACTTTCAGGAGATATTTTCTGTTCCAGGTACTACCTGTGTTTGCAGCTGCGAAATGACATCCTCTCTGGCTGTCTGCCCTGTTCCTTTGTCACACATGCTCTGCTGGGCTCCTACACCGTGCAGGCGGAACTGGGAGACTTTGACAAAGATGACCATGGCTCCGACTACGTTAGTGACTTCTGCTTTGCCCCCAACCAAACTCGCGAACTGGAGGAGAGGGTGATGGAACTACATAGAACTTACAGGTCTGAGAGAGATATTAAAGACTGTATTTATTACAGAGAGATTTTACAGTACTTGTTTAATGCAAAATGAGATTACATTACAGATTATATTGATATTACAACCAATATATGTAATGTTCCCTGCCTATGGCCTGAGGCGCTGGGATAGGCTCCAGCATCCCTGTGACCAGGCAGTCAGGAAAGGCAGTTTGGACAATGGATGGGATGTATAATATTACCAAATGTTAACAAATATTCTGAACAGTTTCAGAATAGTTTTATTTAGTTTATTTAGTTTTATTATAAAACTTTTAATAAATATATCAGTTCTTTAAATACTGAATCAGTTCTGATCATAAATTCTATGTGGGTCAGCTATGTTTGAAGGCGTTGTAAATGCTGAAATTCACACCTGTGACTGTCAGGGGCATGGATAACCAAAATGGTTATAATGGTTATTTTTTCCTGTTTCTCAGGGGAATGACACCTGCTGAGGCGGAAATGAACTTCGTGGAAAATGCAAAGAAACTTTCCATGTATGGTGTCGACCTGCATCATGCTAAGGTACGTAAAAATCACCTGGTACAATCTGTAACTACGTACAACTGCTATAGACACTACAAGAGGAAGTAGTTTGTAGTCAGTACCACTAGTGAATCTAAACATCATACACATCTAAAAAAATGTTTACTAACAGTTAGTATTAGGCAACCTTCTTGCAGTAGAAATTGTGTAATTTAGCTGACTGTGCCTTTAATAATCACCCATTCTTTCTGAGGCAGGATTCTGAAGGGATTGATATCATGCTGGGCATCTGTGCCAATGGTCTATTGATTTACCGTGACAGGCTGAGAATCAATCGATTTGCCTGGCCAAAAATCCTCAAGATCTCCTACAAAAGGAGTAATTTCTACATCAAGATCCGTCCTGGAGAGGTAATCAGATCTTTCAGAGGATCTTAGTGCTAAACCATGAAAATTCCACAAAAGTATCCGTCTCTTGAATAAACACAGAACAAGCAAACAGTGGCATATTGCTGAAAACATTAAATAGTCTAAGTAAGAGGCAGTCTTGGCTTCATATTTGCACATGATTACACACACACACACACACACTCAATATGAATAGAGATTTTTAATGTGAAAGCATTTGAAAATTGGTAATTTGATGTTCTTTAACTTCACTTTGTTAGTAGATCACCCGCAGAAATTTCCACTGCCATCTTCACTTTTATGAGACTGCGGTTTAGTAAACCTGGCCCATAGATGCTTGCACACTCTCAATTTGGCCATAGAATTAACTATTGGTGACCCTGAGATTTTCATTTACTACAGACAATTTTTATTAAGTCACTTGACTACTGTGTCAATAGAACAATTGCTTGAATCTTAATGTAAAAAGGGGAAATTAACTGATTGCCAGAAGTCTTGGACCCTGTTGAGTTTTGCAGTCTAATTGGTAGTTACTTACTCTCAGCCTAACCATCTTGCCATTGAACACAGCCTATACAGGTCCCCAATGCAACTGGCTCAGTCATTATCTCTTAAGTTTAAGTGTACAAAGTGTAACAATGTTTAAATGTAATTGGTGGCAAGCTCAGAAGCAGAACTGTTGCATTACCAAAGGTATTCCTGGATAAGAGCTTACAGTTGTTTTTTTTAAAGATCCAAGGTGGCGCCACAGACGGCTGCCTCAGTTTTTGGCTCTCCAGTTTTTGTACTGTTTTTGTTAGTTTTTCCTGTTTTTTGTTTCTCAAACACGATCAGTTTTACCAGGGATGAACTGCTGAACATTCGGCAGTACACACCACACAATCTTCTACCGGATTTCGTTTATTCAGACGTTTTGCTGAACGTTGTAGTTGGCGGAGAAGCGACGCTGATCAAACGCTTTAGGATGCGCAGACGGGGAAGCGAGCCGGTGCGCTCGTGAAGCTCAGACTGCCTAGCATTCATCTGGCGAATCTTCGCTCTCTACCCAACAAAACGGATGAACTTCTTCTGCTCTCCCGGACAAATAAGGATTTTTCACACTGCTGCTCTGAATGACGCCATACCAGACAGCGCGTTAAACCTGCCGAGCTTCCAGGTGTTCAGAGCGGGCCGCGACACAGAATCAACGGGGAAATCGAGTGGCGGCGGGACATGTTTCTACATCAATGAAAGGTGGTGTACAGATGTAACAGTGTTAAAGAAGATGTGCTTTTCCGATCTAAAAGCGCTTTTCATTAACTCTTAAGCCGTTCTATTCGCCACGGGAGTTTCACTTGTTCATTCTCATGAGTGTTTACATTCCACCGCAAGCGCACGTGAGCTCAGCTTTACAGAAACTCGCTGATTAGTTCACAGACACAGAGCAACAGCACCAGGACTCTGCTTTAATCATTCTCGGGGACTTTAATAAAGCAAATCTTTCCCGTGAACTGCCAAAATACAGACAGCATGTTACATGTCCCACCAGAGACAGTAATATACTGGATCATTGTTACTCCAGAATAAAGGATGTATATCGCTCCGTCCCCAGAGCAGCTGTAGGACACTCTGACCACTGCCTGGTTCATCTTATACCGTACAGGCAAAAACGTAAATCTGCTAAACCTGTAGTAAAGTCTGTAAAGAGATGGACCAACGAAGCAGAGCGGGCATTACAAGCCTGTTTCGACTGCACTGATTGGAGTGTTTTTGAAGCAGCCACCAACGATCTGGACGAGCTCACGGAATCTGTAACATCATATATCAGTTTCTGTGAAGACGTGCATCCCTACCAGGACTCATTTAACATTCAACAATGATAAGCCATGGTTTACAGCAAAACTTCGTCATCTTCGTCAGGCCAAAGAGGACGCCTACAAAAGGGGGGACAAAGTCTCGTACAATCAGGCCAGAAACACACTGAATAAGGAGATTAGAGTGGCCAAGAGGAACTACTCTAAAAAGCTAGAACACCAGTTTTCTGACAACGACCCTGCATCAGTGTGCATCGGTGTGGCCTGTAAAACATCACCAACTACAAGACACCATCCCCCAGCACTGAGGCCAATCAACAACTTGCTGAAGACCTGAATGAGTTTTACTGTAGATTTGAAACTCCCAGTCTAACACCCCACACCCACTCTGAACATCTCTCCACACAACCATCAACACCTCCTGCAACCCCCCTCTTCCCCACTCCTGCGTTTCAGATCAGTGAGGATTATGTGCGCCAGGTCTTCAGAAAGAAAAAGAGAAAAAAGGCAGCAGGCCCAGACGGTGTGACAACAGCATGTCTTGAAAACCTGTGCTAACCAGCTGGCCCCCATCTTCTCACAGATCTTCAACAGATCACTGGAGCTCTGCAAAGTCCCTGCTTCAAACGCTCCACCATCATCCCCGTCCCAAAGAAACCCAAGATAACAGGACTTAATGACTACAGACCTGTGGCTCTAACGTATGTGTTATGAAGACATTTGAGAGGTTGGTGTTGGCTTATCTGAAGGACATTACTGGACCTTTACTTGACCCCATGCAGTTTGCTTACCAAGCAAACAGGTCCATGGATGATGCAGTCAGCATGGGACTGCACTTCATCCTGCAACATCTGGACAAAATGGGGTCTTATGTGAGGATCCTGTTTGTGGACTTTAGCTCCGCTTTCAACACCATCATCCCAACACTCCTCCAGACCAAACTAACCCAGCTCTCTGTTCCTAGCTCTATCTGTCAATGGATCTTTCAACACCATCATCCCAACACTCCTCCAGACCAAACTAACCCAGCTCTCTGTCCCTAGCTCTATCTGTCAATGGATCACCAGCTTTCTGACAGATAGGCAACAGCTAGTGAGAATTGGTAAATTCACATCCAACAGCCGCACCACCAGCACTGGCACCCCCTCAGGGTTGCGTCCTCTCCCCACTGCTCTTCTTCCTCTACACAAACGACTGCACCTCTAAAGACCCCTCTGTCAAGCTCCTGAAGTTTGCAGATGACACTACAGTCATCGGTCTCATCCAGGACGGAGATGAGTCTGCTTACAGACAGGAGGTTAAAGAGCTGGCTGTCTGGTGCAGTCACAACAACCTGGA